GCAGCCGTTGCAACGGGCGAGGAGCTTGCCGGTGTCGGCCTGCACCGTGATGAGGTCGCCGTCATTGAACGTGCACGCCGGCGACGGTGCCTGTTGGAGCATGTTGGCGTTGACCACCGTCGGCATCATGGGCTGCGTGTCCGCGGCAGCCGCCGAGTACGCGCCAAGGAACGCGAGGCTCGTACCGAGCGCGATGAGGGCCTTGCGCGTGCGAGACACTTTGGGCGCGACGGCTTCGTCCTTCATGAGGAGTTGTTCTTCCTTGACGAGAAGGTGCTTTTGCGAACTGTCCGTCTCGATCGGCATGTTGGTGGCTGTCGTGTTTGAGGCGAATGCGAAAATGAAATGTGGTGGCGGAATTTGAGTCCATTCGAACATTTTGCGACAGGATTCGGTTTCGGTTTCGCTCTCTAGAAAGGCGCGTCTTTTGTGGGGTCAATGTACGTTCATGCGCCTGTTCGGCCCAATCTTCGAACAACAAGCTTGTTGTTTTGCATATATCTCGTATTGCAATTGTAGAAACATTGCAAACACCAACATTCGTATATCTTCGCCGTCGATACCCTTGGATCGAGTGGCGTGTGGGACACTTACGTGGCCTCGGCGTCCAAACGAAACAGTTACATCGGTGAGCGGCTGTTAGGACAGGAGTTCCTTGTGTGGTGATCCATGCGTCGAGTACAGTGCGTTTTCGATTGTACTAGTACTGTCGGAAGCTTTGCAGGTCGGGGCGCTGAGAGCTCCTCGTTCACGGCGACGACCGTCACGGCTGGTTGCGACGTCTGGCAAGCTCGGAAAATACGTGACAGACCTCCTTCCCCATCGTCAAGTATTTTTCCTGCAAAGACGACCACTTCACGACATTGGTGGAGAATGAGGGTACCGACACTACTGGTTCAGGTCCCTCGCGTGAAGCCTCGTCGTCGTGGACGCACTGGTGATCTGCCAAGCGTCGGCGCATCGACCATCCGGACCAAGATCACCAGGAGCGACGATCGTCGCGCAGCTGCCTGCCGAGACGACAAGCCTTCGCCAGACACCACGGCGACCCGTTTCGACTACACCGAAACGCTCGCGACGACGACAGTACAATCGAAAACGCACTGTACTCGACGCATGGATCACCACACAAGGAACTCCTATCCTAACAGGCGCTCACCGATGTAACTGTTTTGTTTGGACGCCG